CAGACATCACTTATTCAGTAAATGTATTGCGCCAGTGTGTTTCAGATCCTCGAGCCAATCATTGGCGTGCAGCTGTGCGCGTTTTACGATATCTCAAAGCAAGCTTGGGACAGGGGATACTATTACCGAAAGATGGGTCGCCAGATTTAGTCACTTACAGTGATTCCGATTGGCTTGGATGTTTGTATTCACGTCGTTCTATAACAGGTTATTTGTTGATCTTAGGTGGAGCTCCTGTCTCTTGGAAGTCGAAGAAACAATCAGTCGTCTCTCTCTCTTCAGCGGAGGCTGAATATCGAGCAATGGCCACCACTGTCAGCGAGATTCTATGAAGGTCACTACCGCTACACCACTTCTCTGTGACAATCAATCAGCTCGTCACATTGCTCACAATCCTGTTTTTCACGAGAGAACGAAGCATGTGGAGATGGACTGCTTCTTTGTTCGTGAAAGAGTAGAGTCTAAAGAGATAGCTCCGGTTTGGATTCATACCCGTGATCAACTTGCAGACCTTCTTACCAAGCCACTTATCAAGGATAAGCTACACTCACTTCATGTCAAGATGAACATTCGGAATCTGCATGCTCATCTTGAGGGGGAGTAAAGGAATTTATTTTAATTCTTATCTAGTTTATAGCTTATCATTGATGTTCTTATCTAGTTTATAGCTTATCCTTTTGTTTAGCTAGTTTGTTAGCTTTATTCTCTTTTAAAGGAACGTATTGTACACCTTTGATTAAGTTTTTGACAAAGCAATAAACGGGTTGGCTCTTATCAGTTTTTTCAAGTTTCCAAACACATTAGAATCAACTTTGGAGCAGAATACCAATTTTATCCACCCAGCGATGGACTCGCCGAGTGCACTTACTTACTCGACGAGTCCCAATGTAATTTCACGAATTCTGCCTTTTCGCGCTACAACTCGGCGAGTCATATACCGTACTCGACGAGTTGATACATATTTCACCTCTCAAGCTTATGATTTGATGATTATTTCACACGACAATTGGCTGCACTTATAAAGATCAATTCCTGAAGACTCCCGAGGGTCTTTCCTGTTTTTTTTAGAGCTATGAACCACACGAGATATGACGCCCAAGGCATGGATGAGCTATTCCCATGCCAAAGTCAGCTGAAGATGGAGCTCAAAAGAAGAAATATCAACCTCGCCATTACTATCCCATAGGAGTTTGTTCCAATTCTCTCTTTACTTTTGTGTTTTTCTATCATGCATAGCATGCAATGAGGACATTACATGAATTAAGTGTGGGGTAGGGGGTTGGTTACATTAGATAACTTAGGATCTTAATTTAGGATTAATTTTAAAAAAATTTAAAACTTTTGCATTAAAATTGCTAGGATTAATTCAGAAAATTATGGTAAAAGCAATTAGGATTCATGCTAGTATTATGTTTTATGATTCTATAAGGACCTAAATGTTTAGTTGAGCCAATATATGTTATAATGCATTTGTGGCCTCCCTTATTCTAGTGAAATCATGGGACAAAAACACAACCTCGCTTAGTTTGAGGGATGCAATATGTTTAGCATCGTGTACCAGAAATGTATCCAGGAAATTTTTTATCTTTAATCAATAAAGGTTGAAGTTGAGCGCCCTTGCTTAAGCATGTAGGAATTGAGTGAAAAAAAAAGTTGAAAAAGTTTTGGAGCTATTAAAGTGAAGATCAAAAATTCCAAAGTTCAAAAGTTGAAGATACCAAAAAAAAAGGTGATGAATTCAAAGAAATCAAGATCAAATATCCAATAAGTGAAGAATTCCAAAAGAGCTCTATAGTGGTATCAAAAAGTTGTAATTGTCTAGATTATGTATGCTTGGGTTGCTCGACCAAAAATACCTTGAGGCTAGGAGGTTTTCTGCGGATGGATTCGGAGGGATGCATAAAATGAGCATTGTTCAAAAGAAGTGGGCGAGTGTTTATGAGGATTGTAAGTATTTAGAGTATGGGGGGGTTCCTTAGGAAAAATTTTAGACACAAATGCATGCATTGAGGTCTTGGCATAATGGTTGGGTTTGATTAGGATTGTTTTATGTGATGTTAGTATGTTTAAAATTCAGTTTTGCTTGGGGCAAGCAAAAGTCAAGTGTGGGGTAATTTGATATGTGCATATTTAGTCATATATTTTGTATAGAATATTAATACTTTTTGGCTAATTTATTGCAATTATGGAACAAAAGATGCTTAATTACGTTTAAATTATATTTTCAGTTCAAAAGAAGTGTTCGGAAGCAAAAGGAAGCAGGAGAAGCTAACGGAAGCTTGGGAATCAAAGAAAGAAGAAAAGAGCCAAAAACCAAGAAGGACTCGGCAAGTTGACCCTTGACTCGACGAGTCTGCACGAACATTCTCGAAGCAGAAGAGTCCTTGCCTTGCCGTACACGGGGATTTAATGAGAGACTCGACGAGCCAGTCTCTGGACTCGACGAGTCGCTTCTAATATATAAAAAGGGGCTTTCAGATCGATACCCGGTTTTTTCTAAGAAACCCTTGGAGGATACTTTTCGATTGAAGGACTGCTGAAGCGTAGGAAGCCAAGGAATCAAGTCTACATTCAATCTTAAGGAGGATTAAGGCAAAAATCAAGTTTACTCTTACCCAATCTCTTGTCTAAACCATGTTTTTATTAGTAGATTTCGTTTGTGACTTTGATTTTTCTGTAATCATGAGCTAAGACTATTTTCTTCTGTTTAGGAAAGACAAATTTTGTGATTATGTGTTGATTTTATGATTTGGATTATTCTTATTTGGTGATTTGTTTTGCTAAGCTTGTTAAAGACCCTTATGTGTTAATTATGACTATTTTCTGTTAATTAACCTGTAATTAAGTTGCATGACCATCTCTTAATTGTTAATCTCATATGATTGTTATATGTCTAGGAATAGCGAACGTGAAACTAGGGTTAATAGAGAATAGGAAAATTAATGTGTGAGCTTGTGTGACGAACCATCAACAAGAGGTTAATTGAAGGACCAATTTAGTTAACCACTACAAGTCTTACTTAACCCGAATAAATAAACTAGGAAATTAATTAATTTAGACAACTGGCCACTGCTTAAATTAATTTGTTTTCTAAGGACTAGTAACAGCGAACGTTAACCTAATCATCTTAATCGGTAGCTAAAGAAGAATTAATCCATTGCACTTTTCATAAAATCAACCATAGGATCAAATGAGTCAAACCTAAACAGAAGTCTCCTTTACCATTGAATTTAGTTGATCTTTACTCTCTAGTTGTTATTTGTTTTGTTTGAGTTTTAGTTAGATATTTAAGTTTTCTAGTCTTGCAAAACTAGAGAAAACCCCTTCTTTTAATTATTTGTTTTTAGATAGTACTAGTAGTTAATTTAAGATTTACCGTTCCCTGAGTTCGATACTCTGCTTACTAAAAATTATACCACCAATTGACAGGTACACTGTCTATTGTATGTCAAATTTACACTAGAAAAGTAGGATTAAAACTAGTTTGTTTCACGTACATCATATATATATATATATATATATATATATATATATATATATATATATATATATATATATATATATATTAAAATTGTGATGAAAAAGAATAGTAAACCTAGCATAATTTTTGTTTCTTTTGGTCCCTAAGTTACATTCCAGGTCCCATCAGTTCATATATATTAAAGTTAGGAAGAGTCCCATCAGTTCATATACATTCCAGGTACTGTTCCTCGGGTGACCACTTTAGGGTATTTACTTCCCGATCCTTCCACAGATTTCATTATCTCTGCTCCAAATCATACACATCTCTTTCTTCATCGTCTCCCCCGGTTCTCCATTGTTACTCTTTCGCCTCCGCTTCTTCCAGAAAAGCGCCGCCGCCCTGTCTCCGCCTCAAATAATCTCGCCGTTACACTATTTATATGTTCTACGACAATGCTTTTGATACATGTTCTTCCTAATCGAACCACAAGCCCACCGCTTTCAACCATAAGCCCACCGCTCTCAACCATCACCTGCTCTTCATCGTCCACCGTCGCTGATAGACATATATGTTGCTTTTTCCTCCGTCTCTGGTTTCTCTTTTCTGTCAGATACATCTCCATCGCTGCTGATAATCCAGAGGGTTGCAACATCGCATAGGCTCTCCTCTGCAGCATAATCCGTTGATGTGGGTTCTCCCAGGTACCTTCCACTTCTTTCCTTTTTTTTTTCTATGTTTGTTGTGTACGGTTTATTCGAAGTCTCGATTTCAGTTGACTGTTTCTGCCCTTCGTTGTTGGTGTTTTATTTTGTTTTTGTTTGATGTCTATTGGAGTTTCCATTACCGATTGAAGGCTCTATTTTTGCAGTTTCGGCATCCTGCGGTCTCGGCCGCCGCCACCAACAGAACCGATGGCCACCACTACTTTCAACCACCAACCTAAGGTAGTATCCACTTCTCTTTGATCATTTTTACCTAATTTACTTCTGAAAACTTACACTCAGGTCTATCCACCGCCTCAATGATTTTCTCTCACCGTCTTTGTCATCTCCGGTCCTTCTCTATCCCTCTACTTTCCTCCACCGCCTAAACTCAATTGATCTTCAAGAAAAACCTAGAAAATATTGGTTCTTTAAATGTAGATTGTGAATGGAGTTCGCCGTAACCTTTCCTTTTCTGTTTTTGATTTATGTAGATTTTTCAGCTGTTTATGGGATTCAGAAAGAAATTGATCGACTTTGTTCATAGGTACGTATTTTCACTCTATCTATATTAATTTAGATTTTGGAATTCCTTCTATTTTCCATTCACAAAACTTTTTGATTTTTGAGGTTTATTCTTCTGCCTACTTCTAGCTGTTACATGTTTGACAAAATGACTTCAAGACATCCACACAACTGACCCGGAAATATTGACTTTGTAGTTTGGTTAATCGAAGAAGAGTGGGTGTTCCCAAGGATTTATGATTGTGCTCGGAAATGAAGACTCTGTTCCTAATTGACTTTGTCTTCTGCTTTATGGTTGTCATTTTGAGTTAATGTCCAAGTCTCTATCCCGATATTGGCAAAAAAAATGGTTTTTTTCTCCTTCAGAGCCCAGAGCATGTACTTAACTTCATCATGTGTAGTTTGTGATTTGTACCTGTTTGAGTTACAGTTCTAGAAAGCAGGGGTAAATATGTCAAACTTTCTACAAATCTCCATACTAGAACCTTCATATTATATTGCCTTTTTTAGGTAATCTGTAAGTATTGGATATTAGTTTTAAACACTTAATTGTCTATTTTGTGTCAATATCAGGTTAATGGCAGTTTTTAGTTTGTTAATCAAGTATATGAAACCTCCAAACCAACAAAACATGACACAGAGGTTATTGATTACCCAAGAAATGAGTTATATAAACATGGTTGATTTTTTATTTGTTTGTAAGGAAAATAATGGAGTTGCATGACAACTTTATTGCATATGTTACAGATTGCTTCATGAATCATACATTATTTCACAAGGTCAGTTTCGTCTTTTTTATCATGTTGTTTATTTCAGTATTGATTACGAAAAAAATTTACCCTATTTTTTGTTTTCCTTTAGGCCCTAAAACAGGCATTTGAGGTTTTTTGTAATAAAATTGTGGTTGGTTGTGTGATTTTACTGTCACAATATCCTGAAAAAGGGGGCAGGGAGAAGTTGAGTGATGAGGCAATCGAAGAAACTTGGATAAGGTAGCCTCCACTATTTTTTATTTGACATTGTTGGTATGAGATATAGTGATGACATGGACTTTGATTTTACAGGTAGTTAAGCTCCTTGCTTACATCAACAATAAAGACCTAACTGTGACTTCAAAAAGCAAATAAGTGAAATGAAAAGGTGCGACATATTTCTTCTATTTGTCTTCTTTTAATGAGAATTAAAACTGATATTGACACTATTTTTTCTCATAGGCTCAATTGCTTGCTACTGTTATGCCCTTCTCAGCTTAATTCATTAATTTGTGCAGCAAAGGTATCCTAAATTCCCTATTTGTTTAGCCTTTATATACATATTTTAAGCATCATCCCTACCTATTAGAACATTGTAATCTCATGATTGTATAGTTAGTTTCGTTTTCATCATTTTTAAGTAGATCAAGCATCAGAATATGTATATTTTTTTCCAGATTTCTTTAACAGTTTCTAGGTCTGAAAGAAGGTTGGGTGAATGGATGTAAAAGAGGGTCTAGATATAGACAGTTAAGGCAACAATATTTTATATGTAGAACAACTGTTGAATTGCATTCTTCTAATTGTAATGGCATTTGATTCTTCTATTTTATAAAGATAAAAAATTGTATTTTAAAATATTAATATGCTCCATAACAAACGATGATATCCCCCAAAGTCCCACCCACCATCATATGCATAGCGTTGTCCCTTATTTATTCCTGTTTTGGTGTTGCAGTTTGACCTTAGTTCAGCAAACAGGCTCCCATCTCCACGTAGGGGCACAAATAAATGTAGATTCATGTTTAAGTTTTTTAAATAATTTATTTTTCTTGAAAAAAATGCAAAAATAAAATTATGTTATCTCATTAGAATTATCATTTTTTTTATTGTCCGCAATGTTATTTTACTTTTGAATCTTACTCTTTTTATTTTATTTTCAATCTTACTCATTAACAGTTTTGTGACTAAACTACCCATATATATAGTTTTTGTTCATGTTTCAATTTTCTTGCAAGACCAATCTGCCCCTGTACTCAAATATGCCACAGCGCAGTAAAATGGGACAGACTATGCAGTTTTGTTGCAAGACCAATCCGACCTTCATTGTTAAGCATTTATTATATATATATTTTTTGTTTTTTTATTGGATGCAGTTTCAATGGTGAGAAGCCATAAAAAAAATTGCACAAAATGTGAAAGGTATTCTATAGGAAGAAGGTTATGAGGAAAACTTAAAATTTCTACCAACGAGGGTTGATACATTGTGAAAGCAGGTGATCTTTATGCCTATCAAATATAAGTAGGATGGAAAAAAGTAAGAATGCGAGCAAGTAAATTGGTTAAGATGGAGATGTTGTCTTTTCAACACCTTTATAAGATATATTACATGTAAAATCGATAATAAGATAGATAATTTATAGCTATATTTTACACAATTTTTTATTATAGACATGTTGGTAAAAATAAGAAAATTTTATTTTTAGTAGTCGGTCACTTTTATGAGTCATTGTGGAGAAACAAAATAGATTGATACAATATAGATATAGATGAAAAAATTTGAAGCTAATAAAATCTGGAAGTTTGTTGCTATTTTATGCATGTACATGGCGTATAATTTCATATTAGCAGATTTTCTGATGTAAAACAACAAATGGCTTTTGCAGGTAACACAATTAGATTTGGAGTGGAGTGGTATCTTTGCAAAAAAATAGGAGGACGTCAAGTTGGTATAGGATCATTGATGAATTTTTTTTTTGCCCCCCTCGCCGGCTAAAAATAAGTCGTGCCTATCACACCATTAGATGTCATGATTGTTCAAGTGTTGGAAGGAAAGTGGAATCATAAAAGGACTAAATTATCCAATAATAATTACAATCTTTTGGTTTGATTTTTTTTTTTGTACCTAAACAGTATTGTATTTTCAAGATTTTGTGATTTTTGTAGGTATTGGGAGAACCCGGGAGTGAAGGATCATCAGAAACATGGAACAATCTGTCAGCTACAGATTCTGCTTTTGAATGTCTTAATTTCTTAAGCAACTGGTTGTAGTGCAGTCAGATTCATACAAAACTGTTGTTGACAGCTGCAACATGCATAAATCAGAGAAGGTCATTGTCATCCTTTTCGTCCGTATTATATAAAACGTTATCATAGCATTGTACTTTTGCTTCTTTCTAATACAACATTGTACTTCATCAAACACCTTTGACCCATGCGGAGCATGGGTTCACCCTCTAGTGTGTATATATATATATATATATATATATATAAAAGTGAATTTGATTCAAAGCAGAACTTGATAAAGTTTATTTGAACGAACTTCAGTTGAGTTTAAACTCGAATAATTAAGAAAACATGATTTACTTAAAACGCAAAACTTATACATTAATCAACACTTAGTTATAGCATAAGGTATAGTTAATTCCTCTCATGGAAGATATACTTTCATCTTCTTTTGAAATATATAATGGCGGCTAAAACTAGAGATGTTATAGTTTGTTGGGCTGAAGAGCCTCTATCTATTAGGGATGATGTTAATGATGTCTTTTCATGGGAAGATTCGTTAAGGATTTACGGGTCAAAGATGGTGGTTGTTGATGTGATCATTAACTTTGTGGGTGATTTGGATATACCAAAATTTCTTTTACTCTTTAAAGATAAGAAGACAAGGAAGGACAAAAAGGTTGGCTCGATTGTTAGTTATATTGAAAAAACAATTACAAAACCTTCTCGGTTGATGGTTTTGTAATAGGTTTTTTTCTAACTCTTGCCAGGCTCGATTTTATTGAAACAAAAGTGGATGATAGAATGTTGGCTGATAAATATGATAGGATACACTTCTAGTAGATACACCAATTGTAAATAGGATAGAATATACGTAGAATACACCATACAATAAGATACATCATATAGGATACGGCAAGGTAATTGGATACACCATATATGATACACAATATACAATAAGATACACCATATAGGATAGGGCATGGTAAATAGGATACACCATATATGATACACCATATACAATAAGATACACCACCATATTGGATACGGCAAGATAAATAGGATACACCATACTATAGCGTACAATGTACACCCTTGGATAGCATACGGTTGTTTTAACCGTATTCTATTTCTTTTGTAATAGGATACACCCCAAAAGAATACCGATGATTATCCGTATTATATTAGCAAAAATAGTCGTATCCCATTCCATGTTTTCTAGTAGTCAGAGTTTGGTTGAGTGTTTGCATTTAGATATGTGTAAAATGCAAAACGGAAAACCAAATTGGGACCGTATCTCACTAGATTGGAATCAACTATAGTCGGTTAAATTATGGATTCGTTACCTTTAAAAAAGATTTGGTTTCAATTTTAGTGTGGTTAAACATGATTCTTGATTGTGTTCGGAACTAGGATAAACATATATTTGTCTTAAAAAAAAGTTTCAAATATGAAAGGATGCCCGTCGTCATTTCATATTTGTATATTGTTAATTTGAAACCACAATTTATACATTCAATTTAAGTTTTAATAAGACATGTGAAGAGTGGAACATATTGAGAACTTAGCATATGACAAGTGATAGAAGGATAATGTCGGTAAGAAGAGATTCGGCTTCAAACAAAATATTTTAATCTATCGGGAGTTTGAAGGCTGTTTTATATGGACAAAAAGCTTTGAGTCGATCTAAATCTTTGTTAAGGCTATGGGGAGTGGTCACCACCAACACACTGAAAAAGTGTTGCGATCTTTGCGTCACGTCAGCTTCACCACCAACTCATTAGACATAGGAAATAATTACCACTCCACAATTTTTTTTTTTTTTTTTTTTTTTTTTATGATTAAATTAAATAAAAACATAATTTAAAACATAATAAAATATTTTACATTAATTGAAACCACATTATAATAATTAAAAAAACATAAAAAATTAAACCTAAAAAAATAGAAAATTAAACCTAAATTACTAAAAAAAAAACATAAAAATACATAGAAAATTAAAACTAAAATACTAAAAATAACATAGAAATCAAACCTAAATTACTAAAAAAACATAAGAAAAACATAGAATCTAGTTGCGATATTTGTCGAGAACTTCTTGTTGAATTTTAAAAACGTCCTTAAATTTTTCGGGTCGAGATTCGGTTGCGGTATCGTGTTTATAATTTGAAGATCGGTGAGTGCCACTTTTCGCCGACGAGCTTCCTCCGTTGATTCAAAATTTTTTTCCAAAAAATTTAGAGTTTTGTCTATTTTCTCCGCTAGTACGTCCTCGTTGGTTGATTTTCCGCTTAAAAACGTTCTCTTTCTCGTTTTGTCCCTTCCCGGTGGTCGACGAAGTAGGACGTCCAGTGGACCCTCCCCCTTGGTGGTGTCGAACTCATCAATGAGGTCGAGGTTAACACCAATGTCCGACTCAGACGTTCTTGGCCTTTTGTTGGAGCCGGTGGTAGATCCCGAATGCGCCGTATCCGGATAAATGACTCATTTTGGATCATTGCGACAAACTTCCCACGCTTTTTGGTTGACAAATGATTTACCATTGTTGGTAATTTTGAATTGGTACAACGCGGTTGATAAAATGTTGAAATCGTTGCTACCACTTCTATGCATATTTTTAAGATTGTCAAATACGTCGGTAAATTTGGTGCAAGTCGCTCGAAAGTCACGCCATTTTGCATTGACCAAGTCATATGTCCGGCTCGTTTGTCTTCCTAATAACGCGTGGAAGTAGTCTAAAACACGATTCTAAAAGCTTTGACCTATTTGCGCGTTGCCGACATCCTCGTCTTGTGATATGAAAATTCAAGTTTTAGCTAAAGTTTCCTCCTCCATTTCGGTCCATTGCGTACTTTTTCTTTTTTCCTTGGATCTTTTGATTTTTTTTTTGCCTTCTACGACTTGGTTGTGTTTCTTCAACTCGTTCGTCGTCATCGTCATTGTCGAGATTTATAGGTTGAGATTGAGATAATGGATCTTGAGATGGTTGTGAAGTTTGTTGACGTTGGGAAGTTTAGGCTTGAAATTGCAGAGAAAGTTGTTGAAAGGCTTGAAATTGGGGTTGATTGAATTGTGGTGGTTGTTGTTATTGGTAGTAGTGTGGGTGGTATGGAAGATTGGTGGATAGAGGTTGTTGTTGAATTGGAGATGTTATCAATTGCATGTAACTAAGATTTGCTAATGGATCATTTGAAGTGTTTGGGGTGGGTGAGGTATTTTGGTTTGGATCCATAAAAATATGTGAGGAATGAGTATTTTTTGGTGAATATGTGTGTTTATGTTGAAACAGTGTGTGTGTTTGAAATGAAAAATGAGTGTTATATATAGATAAAGTTGTTAGTAATTGAATAATTAATTTTCTTTTAAATATACAAACGGTCGAACGTGGAATGGTCCCAACGGTCAACAAAGCAATTAGCCAATAGAATCAATCGTCTCGGCCCGTCTCTGCGTCCACGCCACAGTCAAAGCACCGGACATAGGGGCGGTGTTCCGCGTCTTAGGGGCTGACACGTCAGCCTCCCACGCGTCTCCCACCTCTCATACCGGACAGCCTAATTAAACCCTCAATTTTCATTTTCCTAGTAGTTGTTTATTTCCGATTTTTGATTTATTTTGTTTTGACGGTACTTTCTTGATTTTTGTTATCTCCAAGATTTTTAAGGGGGTTAATTATAGAAATAAATTTTCAATTTTAATTTTCTAAATTTTGATACTACTTATTAAATTTAAACCCCCCCCCCCCCCCCCCCCCCCCTCCCTCTCTCACACACCGTATAAATAGGTATTATAAACTTTATTATTCATCTTGGAATTAAAATAAAAATGATGTACTTTTTGGTTCAAGGCTCAAGTCCAATTAGTGACAAATTGAAGTTTTGGGTAGAAAGTAGAAAGGTTAGATTTGTGTTAACCTCCTCCGTCGGAGCTACTAATCTTCGCACCCAAAATCGGTAAATTATCGGATCACCAAAATCCACGAACCACAGCAATGAATAGCAGCAGATATTTTCGCTTTCCAAACCTCTTCTCCTCTAATTCCACCAACATGTTCTTCCAAAGACTCTTTGCAATGGCGAATTACAGTTTTTCATCGTCTTCCCCTTCATCTAAAACCTCGATACAAGCCGTGTACGACATCTGCAAGAACAATTTGACGCCCTCAACCGCACCGCCTCCTCAACTCATCCATGAACTCTCCTCTATACTCGGTATTTTTCCACAAATTCAATTTCTGAGGACAATTTATACATTTAATGTAATTGATTTTAGTTCAGTTTGTGACTGTATGGCTGATGTGAATCTCAAATTCGAATTGTTTTACGAAAAGTTATCTGTTCTTTTTCCCGTTGGAGATTACTTCTCAACTTGATACTCTACTAGCTAGTGTTAGTGTGGAATTTGCAGCAAAATTGAACCCAATTTTACGTTTGAAATGCGCTAGGTTTTTCATTTAAAGAAATAATGCTCCGACGTATATACTTATCAGTCGCAATTTCCTAACTGAAACATGAAAAACGAAAAGAAAAGGAAGTTTTGTGAATGTATTGGCTGGATCACTTTCTGGAATTATGGGAGATTGAATCATTCAATCAGGTCCATCCAGATTGCATTTAAGTTTATACTAACCTATTACATGAGTAAAGTCAACCTGGTATGATTGGTTAACACAGTATGAGCATACACAGGTAAGCAATTTGATTGGCTTTGAACCTAAACAGTATCCAGCATCTATTTCAATCAACTAAATAGCTGCAACATCAGTATTTTAGCAAAGATGTACACTTTTTCCATTTTGCAGATACAATTGGTCCTTCTGATGTTGGGCTGAGAGATGAACACCAAGAGGATGATCGAGGCCATGGTTTTTCTACACCCAATACTCTTAATAGACTAGATCGGTGGGCCCAACCAATAACATATATAGATCTAAATGAAAACCAGAGTTTTACAGTAAGCCCAACTTTTCCCCCCATGCGACTACTCAAAAGAATAAAGATATTAGAGATTTGAATCTGGTTCATAGTAATTTCAGGCATATGCTTAAAGAAGATGATTTGAATGCAGATGTGCATGTTTTGCTTCCCTACTTCCTCAGTTATACCCCTCCATGATCATCCAGGAATGACTGTTCTTAGCAAGGTCCTTTATGGTTCCTTGCATGTCAAAGGTTATGATTGGGTTGAACCACCACTCATCAAGGATTCAAAGGAAATTGCTCGAGCTCCAGGTCTGATTCTAGTTCTTCCATAATCATTAGACACATAATTAAGTCTACAAAAAAAAAAA